AGGTCGGTCGGGGGGGGGGGGGGGGGGGGGGTGGCAAATCCCTCGAAGCATGCGGAGCTCCAACTCCTTGCAACGTGCAAACAGTGCAAACGGCGGTTTCTCCAACTCCAGGGCTGAGCGCCCTACATGTAATGCCAGTGGGTACGTTCTGGGACCTCGATTTGTTATTCGCTATAAAATGCACTCAGTGGTATTACAGAAATTAATGAATATCATTTTCCTGAATGTTGAGGTCTGGTTTGACTTGAGGTCACTTTTTTATGAGGATCTTGATCAGTGCTAGACATCTGCCCAGGTGGATATGAAGGTGGAATATCCTACTCCATTGCGTGAATGGTTCAATTAAAATTGACAAGGGAAAGGGGTATCAAAAGCTGCCAACAGACCAAGAAATTCATGCCATCGAATCTAAAAAAAAAGCCAGTAGAAAAGACCAAGCGCGCACTTATCTGCCGTCAAGCGACACATGTATGGCACGGGATGCTCATCATTGCTCTACCAGTCGAATCCGAGTGATAAGTTCTTGTAATCTGGACAGGAACCCGCTCTCTGTTTGCCCCTGGGCTGGAATCGTGGGGATTTCTTGTTCAATCTTCTGATGATATTGCAGGAATTCACCAACGGTAGAAATCACCGCTGTCAATCCGTTGGGGGCGAGTGAGCTCTTGATTTTGGACCGAGTCTGGGGATCCAAACTGAGTGTTAGTAAAAGCACGGCCAAATATCCCACAGCAACGTTGTGGTGTACTTCTAAGACCGAATGAGCCTAAGTGGATCTAGTTAGTCCGATGCGTCTGTGGAAATGGAACCCCCGGCCCCCCTCAAAAAATCGAAAACATACTGTGGAGATGGTTTCAACATGAGTTACGAACAGATGCAAGAGTTGATCAAGAAAAGGCTTTGAGGTACTGTCAGAGTGAAGAAAAACTGATCTCGATGCTTCACTCTGTTCAGTCAGGTTGATAAGTGCGCCGAGCGCTAATATCACGCTGTCCAGAGAATTGTTCGCTTGCCTAAGAGCATCTTCAGTCAAATCCCCAAAGTTTGCAGAGACAATGTGGACCAGCCCCCCAACCATCTCCGGGGTTGCGAATCTATCACAGAGTGAGGTGTTGCAGTTGGTGATATTCAAGATAAGTCGAATGTAGAGGGGTTGTATTTGGTTGATAGTACCCGACTCCGAACAAAGCAGGATATGAAGCTCGGAGAGCGGGTCTAGGATATCCCAATGCTCGTTTGTGAGCGACTCAGGCAATGCGGTAGAAGCTTCCAAGATTGAAAAGCCCATGCACAGTATCTGAGAGCTCTCTGGGTGTATTTTTTCCAATAAAACACAACGCTGGCTTTCGGATACGAGTGCTTGAACCAACGGTTTCAGGAGAGACGTGGAGAGGCTAGGGTTCTGGCCTTTGGTTTGCATCACGGAAATCGTCGACCTCAGACAATACAACGCCAAAGTGCACGGGGATAGTTTTGGCATTGCAGTATCAGGAAACATCATAGCAGCTATCTGCGGAATAGTGTTCTGGAGTGTCTTCTGCAAAGGCCGGGAAAGGCCGCTGGTATGAGCTCTTGCGACTACTGGTATGTCGTCTTGCATGCCCAATAAGGCAGGCGATGCATCTAAGAGCTTAGGCCACGCAGAATTTGCAAGAACATAAGACATGTGTCCATCCGATGATCCCAGTGCGTAGGCACAGAAAGCCAGAACAGTAGGTACCACCTGAAGGTCCATGGACAGACAATCCACAAGCCTTTTGTCAAAATTGCATTCGAAAAACCGCAGTTTAAGCCCAGTGTCCAGAAGTTTGCCACACAGTTGGAGTAAAGCATTGCATCGGCCCGATAACGAGTTTTGCGGGTCCTCAATGTCCTCAAAGATAGATTCGACGGCACCTCGGTAACGAGCGTTTCCCCCAGCTTGTCTGAGCTCATGGATACTTCGGACAGATCCATCCTCATTGGTATCTTCATTTGGCACCATTGAATGAGCACTGGAAGTAGCCTCGTAATTCAACTGACGTTTGACAGATTGAGAGCAGTGCTTTGAACTAGAAGAAATATCGTACGTCGAAAGGTCCTCTGGCATAATCAAGTCATCCAAAAAATGAACGCTGGCGTGCATAGGTGACACGTGAGCCTCGTAAATGAGATGGAACTGAGACAGGAGAGCCTTGAACGCAGCTTTCGGCAGAACACTCATTCACAGCCGCACTTGGCGAAGCTCGGTCGGGAGGGATTGGATTCGGGGGATGGCTGACTACCAGCGGGACTCTCTGGTGATGTTTCAACCCCTGGAGATGTTTCAACCAGGTGTTCAGTAATCCCGAGCGAGTCAATCAGTCTCCTTCGACCGGGAGTGATGTTCGCTTTAGTGGCATATTCCTGGTTGATGTACGGCGAGCTCCTTCGCACGGACTCTCCATCCCCGGGGCTCTCCTCGACTGATACTCTCATTTCATTCTCGAAAGGTGATACCTCAGCCTGACTCCGCACAGACCTCCTAGCCCTTGTATATGATGTCGACCTCACGGGGCTTGTCTGCTGGCCGACTTCTGGATTTTTGGCCAATGGCCCCCGGCCATCGAGCACCCTCTTCCCCATTTCTGATGACACGCGACGATTTCCATTCTCCGTCTCGCTTAGCTTCACGGATCGTTTAGCCGGAGGAACTGCCTTGTTTCCGTCGGGGCTAACTCTCCTTCGCTTTCTCTGAACTATGGGCATCTGTTCATCATCTGAAGAGGGAAAATCAAATACGTTATATTCTGCGATGAGTTTTGGTTGAGCAAGACCTCGAGTCGTGGTTGTTTCCACCGATCCAGACGGTTGTTTATCTTCATTCTTGTCGCGCCGTAACCTGGCGTATGATTGCCGTGAAAGATGAGACGAGCTTGGCAAAGGCTTTTCTTTGGGGGCTGTTCTAGCGGCAGATGAGCGAGCAGCATTTTCGGTATTCAACGGATGTTGGCTTTTGGAAGCAGAGCCATAGGTTACGAGTCGTCGCCGAGGTTGCGACATCTTCAGTTCAAAAAGCAGGGCGAAACTTGATGCGCACGCGTGGTTCAATGAACTCGACTAAGAAATCTGGTTCCCAAATGACAATCAAGGAGTTCCGAGGAGCAATTGAATTAATGGGTTGAGTAAAACGTAGTCGTTGCATAAGACGAAGCCATGTCCTTGCGGTGTCAATGGAGCTTACACACGCTCAAAGGGTGTGGCGCAGTCATCAAAGGAGTGACCCCTAGGTGATTGGGAATGATGTGTGTAGATTGCCTAGGTATATTCCTTTGAGAAGATCGCGCAATGAAACAAATTGACAGCACCCAATGTCTGATTGGGAAGATGATGCAAGTGATAAGAGGCGGAGGGGGATGAGATGGGGCAGAATCACCCACTGCGGTATAGCTTCCGGATATAGAAAAAATGATAAGAGAAAACCCTACATACTTCCCCGCTTTTGGCTTTTGAGACATACCATTCCTCACTGTCCTTATTATATACACCCCTCTCTGGATTCTTGTCCTTATAGGTACTTTGAGCTACTGTCTCGGGTGAACTTCCGGTGCTTTCATCTCTTAACATCTCTTTCTCTTTCTTTCTCTAGTCATACGACCCACACACACATCTTTGGACGCAGCAAAATCATGGCCAGCAAACCAGAGAACGCTCCGTCTCCTGCGCAAGGCGTTGGTCCTTTATATCGCCCCGATGGCGAGAAGCCCACTGCGACAGTCTCAAAGGAAGTCTCCTACGAGAATGTCCACGTGCTACCTCAAACCCCCCAGTTGATTGCTCTATTGACGTGAGGACCCCTTTCTGCATGGAAAGTAACCCAAGACTTATATTTTGTATGAAAAACAGGATGATCAGAGACAAGAGAACTACCCGGGCCGATTTCATCTTCTATTCTAACCGCATCATTCGGTTGCTGGTGGAGGAAGGCTTGAACCACCTCCCCGTTGTTGAGCAGTCTATCACCACTCCAGTTGGACGGTCCTACCTTGGTGTCAAATTCGAAGGAAAGATCTGCGGTGTCTCTATTATGCGCGCAGGTGAGGCCATGGAACAAGGATTGCGCGACTGCTGCCGATCTGTTCGCATTGGAAAAATTCTCATCCAGCGGGACGAGGAGACTTGCATGCCCAAACTGTTTTACGATAAGCTTCCCACTGACATTGCTGATCGTTGGGTCCTTCTACTTGACCCCATGTTTGCAACTGGTAAGTTGAACTTGTTCTACAATGCCCATGGCCACCCAGCTGATTTCTTTCTCCCAGGTGGTTCTGCAACTCTGGCTGTGGAGACACTGATCGAGAGAGGCGTTCCTGAACACCGGATTCTATTCCTCAACCTCATTGCAAGCCCATCCGGTGTTGCTGAGTTTGCGGAGAGATTCCCTAAACTCCGGGTTGTGACCTCTTTCATTGATCAAGGATTGGATGAGAAGAAGTGAGAATATCACACCCCTTGGATGTTGCGACTGCCATGCTGACTGATTGAAAGGTATATTATCCCCGGCCTGGGAGACTTCGGCGACAGGTATTACTCTATGTAAAAGTGCTGTTTCCTACCATGTTGAAAGGAACATCAGCGGGCACAAGGTCACCTGGAAATTCTGAGTAATTCAGCGTTCCAATGTCCATCCATTTCTTGGTCTGTTCCAGATGCCATAAGGCACTTCCACTTCGCCATACAAGTCGCCTATTCAGAGTTGACTTGATGCCCGGGAGTGGAGTAGAGGTCTAGATGGGTGAGACACTTCTTGGAGTTTGGGATAAATAATAAGCATATGCAACATGAAAATGCAAAAACAATGTCAACTACCATGTACATACAAGAATTTTTCAACTCAATCATTGTTGATATCGTGCCTTAATGCGCCGTTCGCCGTCATCCCACGATCAGTAGTCATCATCATAGCTATCGCCCTGCCCCATCTCTTCTGGAATACCCTGCTTGCCGATCCCTCTCTGTCCCAACTGGCTTGGATTCGGTGCGTCGTACTGGTTGGCAGTGTCCTTCGCAACTGCATCACATGCGTCTACCCAATCCGAATATACATCCACGGGGGCAGAGAGATCTTTGAAAGGCACTTCAGTTAGCACAGTTAGGACTCATGCCTTAGGGTGATTATTAACTCACAATTGATACCAGTTTGGAACTTCTGCCCACAAACTTTGCAGGATAAATCGCCTAGACCAAGCTTCTTGTCTAACTTGACGATCACAGAGTTCTCATGGTTGCAAAAGAGACAGGAAAAGGTGGTGGCAAGAGGCTCCCTCTGTGTTCAGAAGTCAGTTCTAAATGCGAAACTTGGCGACTTGTGATTCGTTTACCTTTCGGGGCCCTTGGGGCTTAGAGCTTGACTTCTTGCGCTTGCCCTGTAGAAGTCAACATCTATCCACAGTCGGGGCGGTCGGGACGGTTGGGTATAGGGGATTGATAGCACAAACCATGGTTATGTTAACCTGCGACACAGGATTTGAGATATAAGAAGGGATGAAAAGAAAGTTGAAGCAATGAGATGTGTCGACTCGCGCAGGAGTAGGCCCGCGAGCATGGATGCCAAGGCGACTTGCTTAATTGGGAACCGGAATAATGAGCCTCCAGATTCCGACGAGTGATGTCAATTAATGGCAAAGCGATCTACATTGTATAATACGCTATGCTTTGTATGGAAAAGGGTCTTTGTTGGGCTAATTTGAAACTTTGGAGGATTCAATGCGGAGGAAAGAGCACTGGTTTTTGCAAAGGACATGGAACCAATCCAATGCATAAGTATGAAAGTACACAAATGTAAACATGCCAGAGTACAACAGGTAATAGGAACCAGCGCCAAATCGTGTAGGGCCAATTGTGACGGCCAACGATCTACTACATTCTGTTAAATACAACGCAAAGTGATCTAACAGTAGACTCCAGGGCTCTATTGTGATGACATAATGACATTGCAGTGGACCTTTTTTTATGTTCGGTCACATGACCCATGTGAATGACATAATCAGCTAGGGCCCGCGCCTCGCTTAGCCGAGTTTTCTGTGGGTTTTCAACCCTCCCAGTCGAGTGTCGAAACCCTCTGAGCGCGCGGTGCGATACCTTTGTCTGTCTTCCAACAACACACAGATAACTCGCAATCATGGCTGTTGGAAAGTAAGCGCCCTACTCTTCATCCTTTTCCTGCTTTCAATTTATCGAACTACTTGCGCATCTACGATCTCCATTGAATTCACGAACACACGGCTAATCGTCTTCGTTCAGGAACAAGCGCCTATCTAAGGGTAAGAAGGGTATCAAGAAGCGCACAGTCGACCCCTTCACCCGCAAGGACGAGTACTCTGTGAAGGTGTGTTTAATTCTATTCGTTAGCCCAGGTGTAATGCTAACCGTCTTGACAGGCTCCTTCCACCTTCCAGACCCGCGAGTATGCAAACCACCCGAATCGAATATGGCGAATTTTGAGTTGGATTGACTAACGGAATTATCAGTGTTGGCAAGACTCTGGTCAACCGCACCAGCGGTCTGAAGAACGCCAACGACTCCCTCAAGGGCCGTATCTTCGAGGTCTCCCTCGCCGACCTTCAGAACGATGAGGACCACGCCTTCCGCAAGGTCAAGCTCCGCGTCGACGAGATCCAGGGCAAGAACTGCCTGACCAACTTCCACGGTCTCGACTTCACCACCGACAAGCTCCGTTCCCTTGTCCGCAAGTGGCAGTCCCTGATCGAGGCCAACATCACCGTGAAGACCACTGACGACTACCTCCTCCGCCTGTTCGCCATTGCCTTCACTAAGAGACGCCCCAACCAGATCAAGAAGACCACCTACGCCCGCTCTTCTCAGATCCGTGCCATTCGCAAGAAGATGACCGAGATCATTCAGCGCGAGGCTTCCACCTGCACTCTTTCTCAGCTCACCCACAAGCTCATCCCCGAGGTTATTGGACGTGAGATCGAGAAGTCCACCCAGGGCATCTACCCCCTGCAGAATGTTCGTTTTTCCCACAAGACTGGAGAGCTGCAGATATACAGATTGCTTACATATATGTCTACAGGTTCACATTCGCAAGGTTAAGCTCCTCAAGTCCCCCAAGTTCGATCTCGGTGCTCTCTTGGCTCTGCACGGAGAGTCCGCGACTGACGACAAGGGCCAGAAGGTTGAGCGGGAGTTCAAGGAGACCGTCCTCGAGAATGTTTAAAGGTTATGTCAATGAAGTGGTGTCACGTACTGGTCAGCTGGGACAAATCAATGTCTTCTGGTCATAGGAAAAGAAAAAAGTTCAAACGTGTATGACAGATTTGAACTGGCGTTTAGCTACGCGTTGCCAGTCTTAGACATGATCCCAAAAATTCAAGGGTTGTAGTTCATTCATGTTCAATCTTCTTTGGCCTACCGTGTAGCAAGGTGCATTGTGTAGTCCCACATCTGCTTGTTCGGGGGCCGTGACGCTTGGTCCAGCTAAATGCCAATGCTGCCTCCTTCGTCCTTGCGCCACATTCGTCCCCATATTATCCTCGGCTCATTTGCCGTGTCCAGTGCCAAATTTAGAGGGCGACAACAGGTCAGTTTTAGCCCGATCGTCGGTCTGATCTTGGTCTTTCAAATGGAAGATCACTATTCTAGTTCTGAATGTTGTGTTCCCAAGTCCTGATAGAGTTGAATCGGCTACACATAACAGCACTGCCATCTATCATTGGACATCGTTCGAGGTCTTAGGCCTTCAGAACGAAAATTTTATATTAAAGTGGGTGTGGTAATGAAGCTATTCATTGGTGGCTTTGGTCCACAATTATTGCGTGTAGGTACATTTGATAGGAGGAGTGCCTCCTAGTTTACTCCGTACTCCGCTCTCTCTCTCTCTCTC